AAACATTGACAAAACTGAACAAAGTTATATCTGAGGAAAAAACAAAAATGTTATTTCAGAAGTTTTAGTCTGTTTCAATATAAGGTGGGATTTTATCAATAAACCACCACCACAAAAAGCAACTTAGAAGTCCACTGACGCCAAATTTCACTTGAAAATATTCTGTAATAACCAGAATATGAAACAAACAATATATTAGGCAGTGTCAAGCTAACCAATAGTAAGGACTGCTAACAGAGGGATCACCCTTGGGAATTAATCATCAATACAAAAAGTCCTCAGAGCCCACTAACTTTCCTCTTCTCTCAACGGGAACCCTGGCAGGGCTGACTACACTATGAGCAACACTACAAACACAGCTATACTGTGCCTGACCCTGCGTGGGTATGTGCACGTGAGACTGATGGGCACACGTTCATATCTACTAGTGACCTCTGTACAACGAACAATATAGGTATGCTCTTCAGAACATAACTCCAAATGAAAACAAAGCAGTTAGGTCAATTGAATCCACTTGCATTGTGGGTGCTTTTAAAAATACATCTTATTTTCCTTAATATCTTAAGAATGAACAAGAATTATCTAAATGGTAATAATAAAACCCAAGGATGGTATTTTCTTAAATGAATCCCACTCAGTTACTGTTTTGGTAGGGATTTTAATTAATAATTTGATGGTGACACTACCTTTTCTTTTGAAAGCATTCTGCATTCCCAAATTAACATAAGTAGTAGGATTTTGCAGCTTCTAACTTCTCCTGTCTAAGAATTCCGCTACTATCTTCTATTCTCCTACCCCCAGTTCTCCCATTTCCACTGAAGAACTTTTGGCAGTATCGTTCAAACAGATACCATCTGCAATTAGATATGATCTGAGCAGCACAGGCCTTCTGCCAAAATACCAGCCCCTTAATGCAGTCAGCACATGTGACTTCAGCTGGACTGCAGAATTTCATTTTTGCAACATACATTTTAAAAGCATAAAGACTGACAATTAAGTGCAAGACACTGTATTACTGCAGATCAATACCTTTGCAACCATAAAGTGGGAAAAAAACAAATTTAGTCCTATTGTCTTAGAATAGTAGACAAAAAAAAAGAAACTATTTTTCAAGTTGTGATTTCAAAATTCCCATATTGTGCATCATTCTGACAGAAAAAAAGAAGTTGCAATTACTCACAATAAGTGCTCTTAACATTGTGGGTTAAAGACCTCCGTAAGAGCTCTCTTTTTCTGCAGTTAAGACATATATAGTATTCAGCTACACTGTAATTTTTTAAACAGTGAGAAATTATAAAGACAGATATCTACTGCAGATCTCGATGAAAGGTCGTGATCTTCTCTTAGGAAATTACATAAAAGCCAGATAGGATAACAAGTTAATTCTGTAGACCACCTCCACAACAAAATTACACTCGTTTTGCTTCTAAGGCAAAGTTAAACTATGTAACAAAACTGAGAATAAGCTTTCTAACCCAGGACAGTGTTTTGCTTTGCTGGCAAGCCCACTGTGAATGATGGGCAATCCCAAAAGCTGTAAACAGTCAAATTCACATAAAAACTGACAAACAAAAGCAGCATGTCAGGCAACCACCCTGGTGGCATTCCAACTTCAAGAATATACTTCATTATAGATGTCAGAAACCACTTTTTTTTTTTCCATACCTTCATTAAAAAAAAAAAAATAGAGTACACCGGTGATACACTTTATTACCTGTATCTCTATACTGTTTTCCTTAAAATAATCCTATGCACTTTGCCTCAGTTTCACTGTATTGTAGTTTCTGCTTGTATCAGCCAATACATTTAGAAAACTCACACTTGGACAAAGTTTATACTCAGGACCCACAAAGGATTCATAGAATAGCTTGGCCAATCAATGCACAAAGAATTAAAGTTCAAGTAACAGTCAAAATCCTTTCTTAGCTATCAGACTTCACACTGTCTCATCAATCCTGTTCATCACAATAGTCCATTAGGCTTTCATTCCAAAATAAGGGAACTTTAACTGTGTTGGAGGCTTAAAATATTCACTTATGCCGCATATCATGAGCCTCTCAAATTCGCCTCCTGTCAATTTGATAGTGCACAAATGAAAAAATAACCTCCTTAGAGGCAAGATATCTAAGCCTTGATCATTTCACTGGCATGTTTGAAGAAATGAAGCAGGAACTCCATAGGCTAGAGTTACTACTGAACTCCCTTTATTTTGAAATTGCTGCATCAGTTAGCAGAGTCAGATACGTTCATGTCTCTTTCTGTAGTCGGCTTTTAGCCAACAAGTTCATACCTTAATAATAAGGAATTCAGTAATGTAACTATGAGGCTGCAATGACTGAGGGATCATGAAAATGAAAGAATCCTTGGCAGAAATAGCAACAGTACTTACGCCCCCAAATCTAACATGGAGCCTAAAAACATACCAGAAGAATTTCAGCTTGAAGTTACATGTGTCAGACAACTTGGTGAGGAAGATACTTTGGAGAAAATATTTCTGCTCAGGTTTTTTCCCCACCAAACAATGCCTTATTCATATCTTTTGTTATACGACACTCTTCTGTTCAACGAGTAAAATTACTCCTCTGTCTATTGCTTTCTTCTGTATTTCTCCTCTAAGAGGGAAATACAGGGGAAAAAATAGCCCACAGATTGTAAGAACATGTATTTCAACTGACGATTCCCTTCCCACAGTCTGTAATGGCCCCTGATGACTTAAACCTGACCATCTGTCACATCACCGATCTTGTATCAGAGCCATAGGACTCAAATAGAACGCTACAGATGAGAACATTTCCAGAGCACAAAATATAGCAAAAGCTGTAAAGAAATTTCCAATTGGATAAATCAGGAAGAATTTTTCTCCTTTTGAAAGCTGATGCCATTTCTTGAAAACATGTCTTTGTAGTGCAGCTCTATCATTCAGAAATAGAACCAGTGTCTTTTTTCTACACCACAGTTCAAACTTAGACAAATTGCCAGGAAGTTACTGGTCACCCTTGGTCATTGTACCACAAACAAGCTGTTTCCACAGGCTCCTGGAGTTCAAAAATCTTAAGCGTCTAAAATTATTGCTGTCGTGTCATGACAGCAGCAAGAAAACCTATTACAGAGGCACCAAGTGCTGCTGCTGTAGTTCAGAGCTTGGTGACAGTTCCGTAACAAATGCCATATAACGGAGTCTATAGTTCTTCCATTCTACATTGGGTCAGTCTGAAGGTTGACAGGCGACGTTGGGATACAAGCACCTGCTTCTACATGAGATGACTTCTAAACATTCCCCATTCCCCACTCTGCCCCGACACCATTTGAAATGGAAATTTTTAAATCCAACCGAAAAAAAGTTTCTTTGGGTAATGTTCCACACAAGGTCTAAAGATAAGAATTTACTGTGCTGAAAAGCAAGCTCTCTTCTGTATAATGCCTCTCTTCCAACAAAACCATAAACTGAAGTGACCACAACCAGGACTTAAATTTCATTGCAGAAGCAGGCTGAAGTACAACCTCGGCTAAAAACAGGGAGGAGCCCGTATGAAACCTCCTTTGTATTAATGAGCATGAGTAAATACTCAAGTAATCAGACAGTGAAGTAACTCAGTGCTCTTGGAGCGATACTTCCCACAGCTGCAGACAAGGTGACTATGTGATTACCTAACAATGAAAAACCAACATCAGAAGAGCAGTTTATAGGTATAACTATTAGCCTACACATGACCAATGACACTGCAGCAAATGGTATCAATACTGCCTTGACCTCAAGAAGCACGTTTAAAAACAAAAAAAAAAAAATAAAATCAGTCAATAAATGATGTTCCCATATTCAGTTTCCCATAGAAGAGTCTTCTCCTCCAAATTAGACCCGCAATAACTATTTGAGAACTCCAAGACTTCCAACTGGTTAGAAAATAAGATGATTTTATGTAGTCTGTTATTTTGCCATCGTTTAGACATCTAATCTGGAAAGCATAAAACTTGACCTCCTTTTCCCCTCAGCTTTCTCACTCGGCTATGCTCCTAAACAAAGGCACAGACTGCAGAATAAGCACACCAAGGACTAAAGCACCAGATCCAAGCAGGAATTACACCATGTCCTATTTGCAGCTGGGATAGAGTTAATTTTCGTCCTAGTAGCTGGAATAGTGCTGTGGTTTGGATTTAGTATAAGAATGTTGATAACACACTAATGGTTCAGTCGTTGCTGAGCAGTGCTTACACCAGGCAAGGACTTTTCAGCTTCCCATGCTGCCAGGTGCACAAGCTGGGAGGGGACACAGCCAGGACAGCTGACCCCAACTGGCCAAAGGGATACCCCAGACATATGGCATCATGCTCTGTGTATAAACTGGGGGAAGAAGGAGGAAGGGGGGGACATTCAGAGTGATGGCATTTGTTTTCCCAAGTCACCATTAAGCGTGATGGAGCCCTGCTTTCCTGGGGATGGCTGAGCACCTGCCTGCTGGTGGGAAGCAGGGAATAATTTCCTTGGTTTCTTTGCTTGCACGTGCAGCCCTTGCTTTACCTATTAAACTGTCTTTATCTCAACCCATGAGTTTTCTCACTTTTCCGATTCTCTCCCCCATCCTACCAGTGGAGAATAAGCAAGCGGTTGGGTTGTGCTTAGTTGCCAGCTGGGGTTAAACTACGACACACCATAACAATTATCATGTAGTGGTCTGCAATGTAGCCCTGTATCCATCAGTCCACATGACATTCCCACACACTGAAGTTAACAAAAAGGTTTTTACTTTGGTATTCTAATCCTTCTGTAGAATTCTCAACTCACCACAAGCAAACTGCATCAAAATCAAGATACTCATGATTTAGACTTTCTAATCAAATTCAGAGACATTCTAGTTAGTAAAGACAGCCTCAGAAGAGACGATTCTCTAAACGACTAATTCTAGATGCTATAACGTACACAGTACTCAATTTAGTGTCAAAAAAGATGATTAAGCAGGAAGGGGAGAGAGAAAGACTCCCTTACAAGATTAAAATAAACTTACTGGTTGAATTGCCTTGCATCTGGATGATACATTTGGATTCTTTGCTGGTTTCTCGGGAATTGAAGGGCCGGACCCGAACAGCCACCTTCACTGAAGCCCCCGACATTCTGCTTGCTTGTAGTGCAGTCAAGCAATTGAAAGTGAAGGGGTCAAGAGCGTTTCAAGTTATCCTTCTTGTTGGTGTTTTCTAAAGAGAAAAATATAAATTAGATATTTATAGCTATTGCATTCAAGATGTTGATAAAATTAGGGAGGTTCAAAGTTGTTTGATAACATCAATTTCTGCTCTGCAGTCACACCCCCAACACACACCCCGAAAGCTGTTACTTCAAAGGCAGAACTGGAAATACAATTACCAGCACCTGTACACTATCTCCTTAGTCAAGAGTTTCTGTCATCTGAAGCAGTTCTTTTTAAGTATACAAACATATTTGTTTTCATTACTTGGTTTTCTTCCCAGAAAGTAGGGATGCCAATACCAAAATGAAGATGATCTGTTTGCAACATGTGTTAGGCTTAACCTAACAAAGATAATTTTAGCAGTAAAGATACAGCTACTTAGATTTCAGTATGAGCCAGTTACCATATACTACATATCTAAGTTCTCTAGCTGTCAACCCTTGCTGCCACAATGCATTAGCAATAATATTAAAACTAACACAAGTGTGATGGGCTATATCACACCAACTTTCAATACACACCGTTCCAGAGAAAAGGGTGTACCCAGCAACGTTAAAGAATCCTTTGCAATCCTGGGAAAGTCTTCTTAGAATCATAGAATGTTTTGGGTTGGAAGGGACCCCTAGAAGTTATCTAGTCCAATCCCCCTGCAGGGAGCAGGGACAGCTTTAACCAGATCAGGTTGCTCACAGCCCCATCCAACCTGGTCTTGAATGGTTCCAGGGATGGGTCCTCCACCACCTCCCTGGGCAACCCCTGCCAGGGTTTCACCACCCTCATTGTAAAGAATTTCTTCCTTACATCCAGTCTAAACCTACACTGCTTCAGTTTAAAACCATTACCCCTTGTCCTGTCACAGCTGGCCCTACTAAAAAGACTTTCCCTATCTTTCCTACAGGCCCCCTTTAAGTACTGAAAGACCGCAATCAGGTCTCCCTGCAGCCTTCTCTTCTCAAAGGAAATAAAAACTCATTAACTACTTGTATATCTAGTGATTAAAGGACACACTACCCTACAAAGGAAGAAGAATAATCAAAAATCATCGCCTTCAGGGTAAGTATTACTATCCATCTTCAGCAAATGCTTACCAGTAAATTCACCTTCATTATCAAAATATTTGTTCAAATCCTACCACAACCAAATGACAGAGCACTCTAGCTGGCAGGAAACTATCCCTGATACCCACAATCCAAACTTCAAGGCACATCCACAACAGTATGGCAATATAGGGCTAATAAAGATTGGTTCAATTGTATTGTCCTTGACCAACCTTTTTCATTAGAAGAAAGGTTTTCAGTCAGTCTACAATTAAACAGTTTAACTTATTGCCACAGGATACTGGCAGTACTGAAGTTAAACAGACTCAAAAAGCAACAAGATAGATTCAGACAAAAAGCCATCAAAGTCTAGTAAAAAGCTACCAGCCTTGGCTAGGAAAGCCTCCATGGCACAGACTCTCAGAACCTGGAAGGCTATGCTGAGGAAACCTGATTACATGGCTGATTTATCCTTATATTCTAAATACCTGCTATGGCCACTGCTGAAGACAGGATTCAGGGCTAGGTGAATCTTTCGTCTGACTCGATGCAGTCATTTCTATTTTGAATCTGAGTTAACATGGGCAGAACTCTGCCCTGCACAAATCACCATGCATGGCCCAGAAATCTTGACATCTTTTTTCCTGGTTATCTATACACCACATATCCAATGAAATGCTCATTTCAAGGTCGTAATCACAGTGCCACAAAAGTACAAAACATACTAGCAGGTCTAAAGCAGAAGCATTTCAGCTCTAAAGTAAGTTCTACAGCTGGTAAAAGTACTTACACATGCTTAATTCAAGTTAAGACACATCTTCACACAGTACAATAAGTTTTTAATAAAACTGCATTACTTCATTAATGCCATCACATGATGAAGGCAGAAATTAAATTATTCCACCAAGAAGTAATTTAAAGCATTCCTTACTCTAGCAGGTACCCGAGATATCTCACCAGACTAGAAGAATAGCAATGTCTTTAGGAACAAGACAACTGAATTTCAATGTCAGTGTACAACAAACTGGTAGAATAAGGATTCATGAGACAGCCACGCAGTCAACTTCAGGTTAGTACAGAATTTTAAGAAGCTTTACTAAAAACTTCAACATAGAATAGAGCAATTAAGTAATGGGAATGAATTTGCATGATCTTCTAAGTTTAAGGGAGATTCTGGGTTGTTTTAGAGGACTGCATTATCCACTCTTGCTCAGAGGTGCCTACTTACGAAGTGTATCAAACACGTAACTTCATTATAATCTTCTTCTTGAGTATCTACTGTATGGAATTTTTGCTCTCCCTTCTTAACATGACCCTTGCATAAGTACCCATGCCCTCACATAAAAGCTAAGTCACAAGACTAATCCTGATACATCCCAGCAGTATTATTCAACTGACCCTGAATATTGCTGCTAGAAAAAAGGAATGTTACTGCATATGGCCACTAAGCATTCTGTTTCTGAAATACAACTTAAACAACCCATCAACTGCAAAATCTGTTATTTTCAAGTTCATAGTCACACAGTTTACTTTGTCAGATTGCAGAAAAAGACGAGTAGGGTGAATTTTCATAGGGTTTAGCACATCACAGAAACTCTACCTGACATTGGCTCAGCGGTTCTCCTCTTTCTTTTCCCCAAATATCCATTTTAATGTGACAACCATAATTTTGTCAGCTTCCCACAAGGACCAATGAATAAAGGTAAGGCCATTAATTAAGTGGGTTTTGTTTTGGTTTGTTTTTTAAGGAAACAATAATATAACCAATGTGTTCTTATAACATTATTTATGAAACATAGGGAGCTTATTTGCCCTTCTTACTGAAAAGCCTCACATACGAAGATATTTTTTTTTCTGACGTTTCCATAGAAATACCTCCCAGAGTACTACATTAATTTCTACAGATAACTAGTATATCTAGGAAGCTGGCAAACAGAAGATGGGATTGAAAGAATCATCTACTTAAAAAAATTCTTGAGTACCTCTGAACACCATATTCAAAATAAGAAAGCATGAAAAGCACACTGCCATAGACTCCATACACACTAGCTAAATTAAAGCCTTGTCTGAAACATAGCTCTGAAGAAATTCTTACAGAACAGGTCATAAGATCACCTACAACAGCATAAAAATTTAACTGGTAGACTTCTGCAATTACCAATTTTTCCCAACCCTAACTTTTGTGCTCACAGAAAATTAAATGTAGTGTAATTTTAAATCTCATTCATTCTCAACTCTACTACTTTTCATAGCTGAAGTAAGCAAAATGCCTCCTTGTAGTTGCACATGGATTTAAGATATTTTAAACACCATCTCACTATGCAAGGTTAATTTTCTTGTTAAGGAAAATTGAATCAAAACCAAGATATTTTTCCAAGCTTCCCATAAATTTAAGTTATTTGAGGTTTGAGGGTTTTTTCCACTTATCAGCAACTTTAAGTGGTTGTAACATTTTATAAAGGCACTATTGCCCTCATCATACAGAATGATAAAATAAGGCAAAATGAGACCAAGCTGCATAGCATCGCAGATAATAAATTCCAACTGGTTTTTCAGGGTTCACATTTCCCAGTAGTATCACTTACTACTACAAAATACTGTCTACAGAGTGGTAATAGGAGACTTAACTTGCAACAGAGCAAAACAAAGTGTGCAATAAAGTCTGTGGTACAGATTTAGAAGAACAATCTTTAAAAAAAAAAAAAAAAAGCTATCTTTTATACATTCATTATAGGCTTAGAAGGCTGCCACCCATGCTAGAATGAATAATTCTCCTAATGTCTTAGAAGGAGTCTACTAGCTGTGTATCTTTTAACATTCAGTCTGTATGAACCCAATCAGGAACCAAGTAAAGAAAGGAACTACATGCCCAAGTCTTTGACATAATACACCACTGGCTCTAAAACCGGTGGTAGATAATATTTGAGTTTTTTTAGTGAGCTCCATCAGTACAAAAGCAAATCCTACTCATTAATTTCACATTTATTTTAAACTATTATTAAAAGATATCCACCCTCTAAGTCACACGGTCAGGTTTAATATTAAAGTGTATCATTAAACAAATCATCTAAATCTTGTCTGTTTTCTGTTGTTCAAACTTGGTCTCAAAGCACTTGCAACTAGAGTTGGACTTTCACACAAATGTTTAAAGAAACAAGCTGTTTATTAAGACTTGGATGTGTTTGAAAGTTCTGACAAACCACTTTTTATGCAATGTCAAAATACAGAATGCATTGCTATGTTTTGAAATAAAATTACAAGCACAGTAGGGATTTAGAGTCAAATTATTATTTATATATTCAGAGAAGTTTGCAACAAGTTCAAAGTGGTTACAAAAACAATGTCCAGAATCTGCATCTCTAGATTCAAACTAAAAGAAATTTAAAAACCCACCACACAACTCAAATGAAGAAGCATCGCTTTTATTTAAACATAGCCAGCTATTGTATCATGTTTGCATAGGTACGCCTACCAGAGAATGCGATAACTTTTAAACAAAAAAACATTGCTTGTAACAGCTCTAAAGAAAGAAAGTGAACAAGGACAGAGATTAGTGTATGGCAAGTTAGCAAAGCAGCTGTTCAGAGCAGCAGGGGTTTATGAACAAGAGAACCGCAGCAAATCCAATTTTAGGTCCTCCACTAAGGATCAGGTAGTGATGACAGTCTGATACATCAGCTGAACTCACACACGATGAATTGCTATCTTTGTACTAAGCGAAGACGCCAGATAAAACAGTGGTGCAGAACTTGGCAATGCACTGAAAACCTGATCGTATAAACATATGGCTATTTATCAACACACCAATGTACTGGATGGATTGTGCAATAACAAAAAGAACTGAACTAAGAAGGAGCTGGAAGTGGAAACAAATATACTTTAGAATTTGGTATGAATGTATTTCAGAGAACACATACAAATTCCTCATCTGCTTCTGGTGAATTCTAGCTCTCCAGCCTCAGTTTA